TAATTCATATAAATATTGGAAGACCTGTCACCTCATTGCATTGGACACCACACACTGTAGCAGCATTCTCCAGGGTTCCATACTCTGCCTTATGTTGCAATCAAAAATCAGACCCGTTTAATGAGAAAGCTTATATAGATAACCCATGTTTAATATCCATACGAAATATTTCCAGATGGACTGTGTCTGAAGGGTTTCAGGAGCTAAAATCTTTGGATTAGAAAAATATTCAGCTTGTAACACTTTGAAGCTGCCCTAGTTTATGTTCCATTGCAGTCTTTCAAACAATCGTGAACTCTGCATTGCCTGAAGGGGCGGTATTACGTTATTGATCTGCTACCAGAGGTTCAGTTCCGTGTTGTGTTCATTTTCATTAATATGTTTCATAAGTAATTGATTCAGTTTGACCCCATCTACATTCTTTGTTTGTTAAGTAATACGTTCCATACCCTGGTATATGCCACATAGGCAAATGTAATGTTATTCTCTTCTACTCTAGCATTATTCATATGGCAGGTTTTTAAGTGGTATCTATATATTGAGGTTGATTTACTAAGGGCAAATATGCTGTTTACTTTGCAAGGGAATTTTCACTTTGGAGGGGAAGTTTCCCCTTAGCTTAGTGTATGGGGTGAAGCTCTGTTGACTTCCATCATCCAATCATGTGCAAGCAAAAATACTGTGTTTGTGTTTGAAATTTCCCCACATTTACCAAACTATGGGAAACTTCCTTTGCAAAGTGGAAATTCCGCTGCAAAGTGAACAGCCTTTTTGCCTTTAGTAAATCAACCTCATTGCATCACATAGAGCAGCATTTCTATTGGCTAAACTGGATCACTGGATTTTTGACAGTTGTTATTGACACTTAATACAGAACTATGGGGTAACCTTTTTATCCCATAGTTCTCATAGTTCTCTTTAGGGTCACAGGAGGACATATACTAACATCCTCCCATGACCTAAAGCTCAGTATATAGCAGACTATTGCTCGCTATATACTGAGGGCGCCGCAGCCAGGTCAGATCCTGACAATACTGTCGAGATCCACCCAGCTGGCTGATTGACAGCGGGCTCAGCCTATCTAGAGGCAGAGCCAGCTGTGCCCGCCCCCTCCGTCGTCTGTCCCTCCAATCAGCGCTGGAGGATTGGAGAGGGTAATCCCTGCGAGGAGCGTTGACTGACAGTCACATCTCTCTGCAGGGAGATGATCGGGAATAGTGAGCGAGCGACGGTATGTGTCCGCTCACTTCCTGATCAATAGAGCTGACGTGTGACAGTTTCAATGTCACACGTCGGCTCTAACTATGAGGGTGAGTGAAAATCACTCACCTAATAGTTCACCTTTAAAGTATATCTAAAGCCAATTGTAGATAAAAGTAATGAGAGTACTGAGTAGTACCTACTTAGACAGATGTCAGTGGAAAAGGTGATCTCTAGCAGTCTCCGGTCTCTGATTCTGGCATGTAGCATTACTAAAACTTCTTTAGCATAGTCCATAACCTCTGACCGTTCCCTCTAGGATCTATACAGTCTCTAATCATCTTTTGTATAATTACTAATACTGAATATTAATAGTGGGTCTGTGATGTTTTCAGGGGCTGCACTTGAGGTCCCCCTGTATATACTGTAGAGTGTTTCCCACTGCTGTTTTAAATAGTAGAGAAAGTTTGATTTTGATACATGAATTATTTTGTCAATTTGTTATTATTTTGACATATTTTTATACAATATCTTGTGTAACACTCTTCATAATATTTGTAAGATTCATAATATTACTGTATCATTGGATCTATGTAAATTGCTATATTGGATTTATTTATGGTCTACTAGGATCAGTGTTTTTAAACATTGATATCGTTTCCCTTGCTGGACTTTGTATGCAGCATATTACAATTTACAGAAGGCCAGGCTTGTTGGAGGACTTGTGGTTTTCCAATATGTGACAGACTGGCCCTACTTCTACTAATGACATACCTACTAATAACTACATACTTTTAGGGGTGTATAGCGATGTGCAGAAAAACAGGGATTTTTGGTTCACATATATCAGTACATGTTCAAGCTGGCCAGCTGCACAAAGTGACCCCCCTCTGGCCAGTCCCAATGCTACTTTGTACAATGTCAGCTACTTTCTTGCTCATACCATACTATAATGCAGCGGTGCTGAACATCTGGGCTGCACCTCTAGGCTTCTAGGCTGTGTGCTCCAGACAAGGCCAAGGCAGAAGATGCACTTACCTTGGATACTATGCTGCAGCAGGCACAGTTAAGATGGGAGCTTCCCCTACCTCCACATTGCCCGGCCATCTCCTGATCTGTGCAGGACTGAGCACCGGCACCACCTCTAACCCCCCATTCCTCAGTTCTCCCACAGTCCCACAACTCTGCCTTGACACCACCCAATTTAGACTCAGCTCTTTAGTTGTGTGTGCACCCCCCTGTTTTGGAGGTGCTGAGGGGTGACCATGTGTTCAGACTTTAGATTCTCAGTTAACCCAGTGCTTATCCTCCACAATCCTGCACACTTCTAGCAAACTTGTGCATAAACACAGGAATTCTTGGTTCACAATTATTGAAAAACATATTTAAGCTAGCTACCTGCATCAAAGTGATCCCTCTCTGACCCGTCCTTACTTTACTTTGCAAAATGCCAACTACTTACTTTCTCAATTCTGTTGCCAATTTCTGTAATGCTTTGAAATGGTTTTCCAGTTGGAGAATTCTGCTGAATGTTGTTTTCTGGATTTGAACACATCAAAGACAACTGCCATGTACTGTTGTAAGTTCCCTGCTGTGTTTGGGGATAAAGTGGAGCATACTGTGTGCTATGTAAATACCCCTTTTATGCATCAAGTCTTTAAGTTTACATCACGGCCAACACCTTGGATGTCATGTTTCAAGGTGCCAATACAAAGAACTGTTATTTTCTTATTTCTTTATTTTCTTTCTTATTTTTTTATGTAACCGATTGTATTAAAATTGGAATCTGATAGTTAATTAATTGGCTGTGGGAAAATAATAGCAGTAATTAGTACTGGCATATTGATACATAACAACTGTAAGTGGTGGGGTGAGCTCTCCACAATGGGGTCCCTAAACATGAAGCAGGAGGGTGCATGAGCCTACTGATATCTCGGTCTTTACATCATTAATGTTGAACAAAATCAAATTTGTGGGAGTTTTTTTTAGCTCTGGAAATCCTAACTTCACACTGTGATATAATTGTGCAGAGTTTAGTTCAGTCAGCAAAGTCATCCATAAAATAAATGTCTGCATGTAAAATTTGTGATTTGTTACGGCTTTCTTTCAAAAAAGCATTGCTTATATCTTAATAGAGTGAAAGACAAAAATGTAACATTCAATCCATCACACAGAAATAACAGGTCCAATGAGGCAGCTGTTATCTCTGGAAGATTTAGACTTGACCCCTCACATCTGGAAAACCAATTCAGGCTGCCCATCCACCTGTGTTCACCTTACGCTCTGAATACTGCAGGAAGTCCATTCTACACACACACACACACACACACACACACACACACACACACACACACACACAAACTGCTATGCTTTCTACAAATAGATCTATTTTAACTGTTTTAAAATAAACTATACATTTTCATGAATGTACATTGTGGAAACATTCTGTCATTGCAGAAGATACCAAAAGTGTGTATAATGACATCATCCGAGTCCCTGAAACAGTCCTCTGTCCAGGTGTTTCCAAGTAAAGCATGAGATCTAAACTCTGCTGAGGAAGCTGTTGGGTGAAGTGTCCTGGCTTGATTGTGGAGTTTTTATATTGCTTAATTTTTTGCTTTATCTTCCATTTGCCATTCTTCACATGTGTGAGAATGGCAAATTTTAAAGGTCAAATTCGCCCACAGTTTATTATTTCCTTTCGACAAAGTAAGGGATCCAGTGAAATCCTGAAAGCATGGT